GGAGGATTCGCCCCGTCCCTGCCGCAAAACCCCGGTCCAGGCGGCACCCGACAGCCCCCGGAGCCCCCCCTCTCCTGGGACTCAGTGTCCCCTCGGGGCACAGAGGCGGCGGAGGGGAGACAGGGGTGGAGAAGGGGGGACAGAGAGCGGGCCGCGGTGCCCACCCCCGAGGGCATCCCCCAAACCTGCCCCCCCGGCTGGGTTTTGGTATCCCAGACTTGTTTTCTGCAGCCTCCAGAGCGCAGCCCGGCGGTGCTGACGGCCCTGCCGAAGGCCTGACCCACGCCTGGCCGGGGGTGCACAGCCCACCCGGGAACTGTGCCCGTGAAGGGGGCTCAGCCCGCCCCGGGGGCTGCCCGGACCTGCAGTGAGGGGCTCCCAGTGGGAACCCCTCCTCCCGTGCAGGGAGCTCCCTCAGTCCCTTCCCGTGGTCCCACATTGTGTGCAGGTCTGAAGCATCTTTCTCTCACCCACATCTCACTCCCTTCACAACCTCCTTCCTCCACGAGAAGCCCCCCTGAGCCCCCAGCCTGCCTCTGCTTGGGATGCTGAGTGCTGGGTGAGGCTGAGCACTGCTTTCTGGAATGGTATCTGGTATTTTTGGCGTTATTTTCCATCCTCCCTCCCCTTCCCTTGGGTTTTGTTTGTACTTCTTGCATTGCCTTTGGGACTGTGGGGAGATTTTTGCCCGCTGATGGGACCATACAGGGGGACGGTGCCATGTGGGATCAACAGAGCTTTTGGAAATCCAGCCCAGCCCGCAGCAGTCAGCTCGTCTCACAGGGCTCTTTGAAAAACAGCTGAGAAACTACCACCCTACTTTGCTCCTAACGCACCCCAGAGAGGCTCAGTGAGACCGGGGCTGATGCAAATACCAGAGAGAGAGAAACAAGGGGGCTGGCTGATCCCCATAACCCCATTTTTCACCCTAAAAGCCCATTCCTCCTGGGGCAGAGGCCCTGTGGGGTTTGGCCCACTGATCCCAGCACTGCTGGACCATGGGGAATATTCCCCATTAGCACCTGTTTCGAGGAGGTTGCAGGGATGAAGACACCGTCAGCATCTGGGATGTTCTGACAACCTGTGCAGGAGTGGAAGCATTTCTCCCCCTGATCACACCTGGAGAGACAAATTACCTGAGTGACCGGAGCTGAGAGCAGCGAGGAAGAAGAGAACAAGGAAACAGAGAAGAAAACTTGTGTGCATGTAAAC